GATGCCACCTGACTGTGGCTGCATGTGTAAAACTCGAGTCGGGGACTGACGTTCAAACACACGATGAAATTACAATACTAATTGCGTTATTCAATAATTAATAACGATGAATTGAAATATCTGACATCACGAAAATTAACACACTATACTTTTGTTCTCAGTTTTAAAACCAGCGATAAACGTGACCTTGGTATTGCGTTTGATAACCTGCCAAAAGGGATTGAGCTGAGCGTCATGGCGAGCGCCACCTCCGGTGGTTGCAATATTACAATGACCTACATGGCTAGTGGAGGTAACGTACAAACAAACAGCCCGGCAAATTCATCCCACAGTCATCGCGTTCATTCTTCTGCTCATAACAGGAGCTTGCTAAGTTTCATAAAACAAAGGTGTGCTAATGTAATCACAGTTGTGCTGTGTCGGACATAAAAACGCACGCATCAAATCCATTCTTCTAGTGGCCAAATACAACAATGTATCTACGTGGAAAGAGTTGTAGCTCCAAATCTAACCCTATCCCTACCCTCCAGCGCTCCCCAACTTAAAGGGCGGCAGTCGTCGCGCCGCGTCCTGTTCGATATGGGACTCAAAGCGACGTACAACTCGTGTAAAATACATTGTTTATTTACATGAAATTCGAACACGCGCTGCGCGACGACCACCGCGCATATGCCTCTCATAAAGACCCCTGCAGTTATCTAGAGGGGCATATGCAATTGAATTGGTGGGCCTAGGGTGAGGTTTGGAGTTAGGATTAGAGCCGATTAGAGGTGGGGGTTAGAAAAGGAACTCTTTCCATTTGCGCCAGTGTACCTGGAGAAATTGTTGTAATGAGCCACCGTACATTTCTCATATGAAGCATATCTTAGCTATGTTATTGCTGTGAGATTGTTTTCATTTGCAATTTGCCATAATATATTCCACAATATGGATGAGAGTTTTTTATATAGTTTGTTTGATAATAAATGTCGAAATATCGATCTTTGAGAGGGAAAATGACGTTGGGGTACATTTACTTCATCAAAATTGACCTTCATAAAAGTGTATAGGACATTACTTTCGCGTTTGTCGTTTTGGCGCCACTACGACGCTATGACTAGACTAGTGTTACCGGTAACCCGACTTTCGCGGTAATATTATATTTTATTGAGAACACAACAACGAATAAACAAGGGACTGTATGCAAGTCTACGCTACTACCTTTTTTTTGACGACTGACTTCATGCATAACGCGGGATCTCGCAGTGAACAGAAAATGCAATCTCCCATATACTTTCGGTGTTCTGGCCGCAAGGATCTCTGGGAAGGAGAATACAGAAAATGGTCTATTGATTATTGTTTGAAGCATATATATATATATATATATATATATATATATATATGTATATATATATATGTATATATATATATATGTATATTTATATATAT